ACAAGGTGAAAAAATTGCTCCTTATATTTTCAAAATAAATGATACTCAGACATTGGAAACTTATCTAAGAAAAGAAAGGATTAAAAGAAAACATCATGATGATGCATTATTACCTAATAAAAAGCAAAAATCTTCAGGAGAAGGAAAATAATTTTATTATTATGATATTGATTTATTTTTTTTTACTGACTATTACTACAAAGAAAATTCTCCTTTATGGAAAATGTAATTAATGATCATCATATTGCATTGCTTATCAATAAAAACATTGAGTTTTTGAACAAATTCTACCACATTCAAGGATATGTTTTGTTTTACAAGTCTTTGTTTTTCTCTCATTGACATTGAAACAAGGTAAATAATTCCACCTTTTATTGGAACATTATAAAAACATCACCAATTGACTTAGTCTTCAGGTAAAAAAATTCAAATAACAAATCCTTCTAATAATCACCATTAAACAATTTAAAAAACAAACAAATAATTAATAAATATTTATACAATATTTTCATCCATAATAACATTTTAAAAAATGCTTACTTTCAATAGTGAACTTTTTTGTGGATTATTAATTGGACTCTTGCTTGGTTTCTCTTACTTCACTATGAAGCTTACAAAAATCAATTCTATATTATAGATCAAAAAATTGATCAAATAATCAATAAAATAGAACTAAGAAAAAGCCAATTCAAAAATAAAACAAACAAACCTACTAGTGATAAAAAATATTCACAAGAAATAGAAAATATATGGAAGGATTTTAAGCAATTATTTGATAAAAAGATTGAATTGAATCTTGATTTTTCATTTGGTGAAATGGCCATTGAAATTCGTGAATTACTTGAAGAAGGAAAAGGTGTTGCTGCTTCCACAATAAAAAACTTCTATCAACGAAAAACCAATCCTAGAAGGAAAACGATAGAAGCTATTTAGAGAATGGACCAACAAAGAAAAGAGGAAAGAAGTGGGGAGTGAAGTTGACGAAGATAACGAAAATGAAGAAAATAATAACATTATTGATAATAATAAAAATAGTAGTAATAGTGAAAGTTGAATTTTTGTCAGAATGCCCAAAGAATAGGTAATACTTACAAATGGCTATTATTAAAATAAAAATAATTTTCTTGTCATTTAATTCATTTATCTAAAAAATTCCAAGTCATGTGCTCATGAATTTATTATTGGTCAAAACTATTTATAGAAACAATTAATTGTAACAATTACGATCTAAATCAATTAAAAAAAACATTTTTTTTTAAAAAATTAATTTTAAATCTTTTAATTTCAAGAAAATGACAATGATTGAAAAAATTGAAAGAGAATTAAACGATGCAAAGAAGGAGCACGAAGAAGTGAAAAAGAAGTTGAAGGAATTTGAAGAAGGGGAGGACGATGGATTATGGCTGAGAGAGTTAAGGAGAAAGACAAGGAGAAACAATCTTAGTGAAGAGGAGAGGCAGGAGAAGAAGAGATTAGAAAAAAAAGAAGAAGAGTTGACAAAGGAAAATAAGGATTGGGGAGAGCAAGTAATATATTTACAAAAAAAATTGGCGGAATTTGAAGAAAAAGGTAATGAATAAATTGTGTAAAAAATATTATTTTTCATTCCATTTCGTTTATTTATTTGTTTACTTGGTATACCATTTACAACTTTAACATTACTTTCTACTTAATTTCATTTATTTCTTAACATTAAACATTTCTTATGAAAAAATTTTACCTTTTGGACCTATGATATCATTCTGAAATTTAATAAAAGATACAGTACCTCAAACTCTTGAATATCAGCCTCCACTCAGTTTATTAAAATCATTTGGATCAAACTGGACTTATCAGCCTGCACCCCAACTGATCCATAAGCTATGTCAGAACATTACCCAATTCTATAATTATTACAAGACAAATCATAGAGACAAAACTAATAGTCCTTTGTTCCTTGCTCTTGGTGGTGCAGGAATTGGTAAATCAAGACTACTAACTGAACTTCCAAGAATAGCTCAATCTGCAGTTATAGATTCAGATGTAAAACACCAATTAGATAATTGCATTATATTCAATGTTAGCTTTGAAAATGGTACAATTTATGATGGAAATTGTGAAAAGACTGCTTTGCAAGCTATAGGTATTCGGATGTTATGGCAATTATTAGGACAACAAGAATCAGTATTAGACTTTAATCATTTTCGACAAAATCCTGCACATCATCTTTCAATCTCAGATGTTTTGAGTCGAATATCTTATAAAGGACAGAAAGTTTCTGAATTAACAGTGTTTCTGATGATTGATGGTATCCAGAAATTAATGAACTCAGATAGTGATGGCTTTAACAAATCCAGTATATTCTATAGTTGCCTCTCAACAATTGCTTCAATGGTAATAGGTCATCCAGCTTTTATCATTGCATGTTGTTCAGCTACCATTGTAAAACCAATAGTTGATATTCTTGCAAAGTCCCAACAATTGCGTGTCTTACTTCCTTTCCATGTTCTTGACCCTCCTCAACGTGATGGAAAAAACATATTTAACATACAGCATCCCTTGGTTAGAATATTAGTTGAAGATATGGGTGGTAATGGTCGTGCACTTGAAGCATTAGAAATGCATATTCCTGCTGACATTGATAACTGTTATATTGGGGAACTTATGCATAATATAATCTCTGTTATTGCACAATTATATTCTGATGTACTTGATAATTCATCTCATTATGGGGCAATTTTGAAAGCAATTTTGGGACATATTCCAATATGCAAAAATGAAATTGTACCTGGAACACCATGGAGACCTGACCAAATTGCAGAAATGGGACTTATACGTTATGAAGTTGAACCAGAGCAAGTAACTGGTGTACTTTCATGTCCTTATGTTTGGTTCTGGTTAATTGCTCGTGCTAACAAAGGTGATAATATTCTTGCTAATTGGGTTTTTGATGTTTATCAAGAAATCCAGAATTATCATCATTCAGACAGAATACCTCCAGGTGCACAATCATGGCAGAGTTTTGAACAGTTTGCTGCAGACTTTCGAATTCTAAAATCCAATATATTTGCAGATCAGCAATCTGTGTCAATTAATAAAATTCATTCAGGTGTGCAGTTTATTGATAATGTAACTTTAATTCCAAAGCATTTGGAGTTAATTTGTTCATCAGAACAAGTGGATACTAAATATGGATTTGTGAAGGAAGTGAAACATGAGTATGGTACTATAGATGTTACTAAAGGTTATCATCTAGTTTTGAATGGAACTGGTGCACCTGCAGGTGATTTCTTTTGTTGCATACAAGAATATCCCTCATATAATTGGATAAATGAGATTTCTCAAACCAAATTGTTGTCAGCAAAGAGCAAAATTTCTCTTGAAGATTATATACAAGAATATGATAAAGCAGCAGGGCCAGCAGATATCTTTCTATTAATCACTACTGGAAAGTGTGATATTAACTCTTTGCAATTGCCTAGTACACGTTGTGGTATAGTACATAAAGAAAATTGGAAAAAATATTTTGGACCATTTGCTGGTCGTGCATTTTCATATGCTGCTCTGGAACCACCTGATTTGAATTCTGCACCACGTTTTTGGCTTTCTGGAATTGATGGTATTGGAAGTAAATATGCAGATCACATTATCAATAAACGTCCTTATTCCAGTCTAGAGGATTGTCATGACAAAACAGAAATTCCTCTCAAGATCCTTAAACGTTGCCAATTAATTTCATGAAAAGTGAGAGTATTGTTATAAATTTATCTTATAATGTTTAAAAAAACAATAAATGTCAAATTTCTTTATTTCTTTTTTGCTTTTTAAGCTAATCATTTGAGAACAAATTAAAGGAATCAAATCCAGAAGGTGATGCAAGCGTGCAATCTGAGTTTCCTAATTAATAGATTATTTTTACATTCAACACACAGCAGGACTTACTTTGCCTACTGACTTACAGTCAATACTTCTTTTGTCTTACAACACACAGTCTGGACAAAAGACCTCTAACTTGTTTAACTAACTATATCCCAAAGGCGTCCCCTTGAGATATATCTCAATAATTAGAAGGGTTCCCAACTAATAATTAAAGGTTGACCAGACCATTAATCATTAGAAGGGCTGGGTATCAATCTCACACTGGGTTTATTGGCTATTTTCAGTCAAAGACTATTATTTTATGTAAGGTTATATATTTATTAAGAGTTATTATATGTTATTGTTATTGTTACCAGAATTAGGATTTAATGCTAATTTGTTAGTCGAAATACCCTAATTCTGAACCAAATCTTTTATTTCTATTTTTATTTTATTTACTTTATTTTT